CCAGCACTTGGGAGGCTGAGGCAGAGGTATCACAGTTTAAGGTATGGCCAATCTGAACTACATGGTCGGATATTCTTTTTCTTTAAGTATCATCTGTTTGTTTGTGTATCTATTTTTGTGTGAGTGTTGTTACAGCAGTGCACATGTGAAGGTCAGAGAACAGCTTTCTGGAACCATTTCTCTCCTACCATTGTACTCTAGTTAGCAAGCTTGTGCCAAAAACACACCCCAAGCCATCTCACCATCCTAGTAAGACATTTGACATTTTCTTTAAAAACCAAGGGGCAGATTTCTGTGAGATTCAGGCCAGCCAGAGCTACACAGTACAACCCTGTCTCTAAAAGTGGAAGGGAGGGTGTTGTTACAAATACCTTTAATCTCAGTACTCTGGAGGCAGAGGCAGGTGGGTCTCTGAGTTCGCAACCAGCCTGGTCTACATAATAAGCTCCAGGACAGCCAGGGCTACATAGAGGGATCCTATCTCAAAACAAAATAAAACAGAAAACAAGTGCTGGAGAAATGGTTCAGTGGTTAAGAGCACTTGCTGCTGTTTCAGAGGATCCAGGCTCAATTCCCAGCACCTGCATGGCAACTCACAACCTCTATAACATTAGTTCTAGGGAATCTGACACCCTTTCTGGGCCCTTCAGACACCAGGCATGCACATATCATACAAACATATATGCAGGCAACACACCCATGCAAATAAATATAATAATAATATAATAAATAATAAAAATTGTGTTATATTTTTCTCTAGTCTTTAAATTTTATCATTTATATCTTTAAGTGATCTGGAATTCACTTTTGTGTTTTTGAAAGATCAGAGATCAAACTATTTTCTTGCAAATAAAGATCCTTGCTCCTTAAATGTTTGCTGAATTGCCCTTTCTCGTGGGAAAAGAATCAGCCTCTACACAGATTAAGTAATGGACCCCACATGTACAGGGATAACAGTAATGGACCCCCACATGCACAGGTATAGCAGTAATGGACCCCTACATGTACAGGGGTAACAGTAATGGACCCCACATGTACAGGGGTAACAGTAATGGACCCCACATGCACAGGAATCCATTCCACATTCTCTATTGTACAGAGCTGCTTGTTCGTATCCAGCTGCCCAGACCCGAAATAACCATAGGAACTGTATTAATTAAATTACTGTTTGGCCTATTAGCTTTAGCTTCTTACTGGCTAGCTCTTACATCTTAATTTAACCCATTTCTATTAATCTGTGTATCGCCATGTGGCTGTGGCTTATCAGCAAGGTTCTGTCCAGCGTGTCTCTCTCTCTCTCTCTCTCTCTCTCTCTCTCTCTCTCTGTTGGAGCTACATGGCTTCTCTTTGACTTTGCCTTCTTTCTCCCAGCATTCAGTTTAGTTTTCCCCGCCTACCTATATTCTGCCCTGCACAGGCCTAAGACAGTTTCTTTATTAACTAGTGATATTCACAGCATATAGAGGAGAATCCCACATCAATTCTTTTGTGCCTTAGCTTCTTGCCTGAATGTGTATTTTCCCTGCTTGCAGAAAACACATGGGTCTGTTACATTTCTCAGCTGTGAGCCGCTCCAGTCCATGCACATGCAACTGTAAAAGCCAATTCTCACTGTCCCAGCACTCGGGAGGCAGAGACAGGTAGATCTCCCTGAGTTCAAGGCCAGCTTGGTCTATAGCACGAGTTCCAGGACAGCTAGGGCTATTACAGAGAAATCCTATCTCAAAAAACTAAAACAAAAAAACTAGTTCTCACCCAGTACTGGGTTAGTGTGTATTGACTCATTGTCATTGGAGAAAGTACAGTACTTGACTCTGCAATAGTTTTAAAATTATTATTTAACTTTTATGTATGCTCCTACTTAAAGACCTTTATTCATTATCTATGGTTGATTTATTAATACCGTCTTCAATCAGCACTTTTAGCCATGTCTAAAAGTTATCAACGTAGTTTCTCTGCAGAGGCACTGCACAGCTTCCTCTGCTTAGGAAAACTAAACAGCACTTCAGGTCACACATGAGGAGATTAGAAAAATAATAAACTTAAGTTTTTAGAGAAATTTTGAATTCAAAGCAAAATTAAGTGGGGAAAATATATCGAGCAGCCTCTGCCCCACAGGTGTGCTGCCTCCCCAGGGACCCACAGTATGAGGTGTGAAAAAAAAGAGCAGGCATCGCCCATGTCAGCTCCACAGGGGCCCATTGCTCAGCCCAGAGGAGCTGAGAGCTCCCTAAGAAGATGAGCAGCTTCTGTATGGTGCACTCCGTTTACAAGAGTGGCCAGTGTTCTGTAGGACCAGAGCACACTTAGTTATTTCTCTGTCTGCTTTATATACATGCTTTAGTTCTGTCCCCCTTGGAAATTCCTGCTCATTATCGTGAATTGGGTAATTTTTTCTACTTCAGCTTCAGAAGCCCCTCATTTCAAAAATAAAAGAATAGGAAAACTTGATTTTTTTTTTTAATTTTTATTTTTGAAATGAGGTCTTCCTATGTGACTTTGGCTAGTCTCAAACAATCCTCCTGCCTCAGCTTCCCAAGAAGCTGGGATTGCAGCTGTGTGCTGCCAAGCCTGACCAGGCAGTTAATGAGTTTCATATTGAGCTAGCGCCTCCTGGTCTGTTGCCGTGTCAAGCCCCTGTTAGTACTGACGTATATTGCTTAGACTTAGGGAGCAGCAGCAGCGTTTTTTCTTGGTTCCCAAGTTTCTTCTTTTTCCTTTAGTGCACACTTGTCAAGACCTCACCACCTAGATATCGCCTCATAATAGAATTTAACAAGTTACAGGCCTAGAGGTATAGCTCCATGGTGGTCTCAGGAAGTTCACCCCAGCACACCTAAACCAAACAGACAACAAAAACTCCAAGTACAGTTAAAGGTTCAGAACTGCTGCCACTAGCCCACCAGACCCCTGCACAGATGAGGAGAGTCTCCTTTGTCCCGACACCACCCTCTTACATTTTGGGGAGGTTGTCATCACTGAGTCTGAGACAGATCTGCAGATCCCCACGTGGTGCTCCCCGTGCTCAGGTGACCCCAGGAAACGCCATGTCGTTCCAGCAGTGTCTCCCTCACTGTTCTTGAATCTGCTCTTCTTTCTTCCCAGACTGCCGAGCCTCTGGCTTCTCAGTGTGCTTGCTTATCATCGCATTCTCCTTGTCTGAAAGGGTAAAAGCGGGATATAACCAGGCCTTTCTTTTGCCGGCCTCTCTCCTCTCAGGACATCCTAGTCACAACCTGGAATAATCTTCCTAAGACGTCAGGAAGCCAGTGCCAGAAGCCTCTGACAGTTCCTGTGGGAGGAGAGCTCCTCACAGAGCTGCAGCGCTGTCCCTGCTCAGGATCTGAGACCGGCCTCAACTCCATGCACGAGCCTCATTCCCATCATTGTAATTTCTCATTATTTATGCCTCCTTGTATATCCATTACCTGGAGGGAGTTCTTGTATTTTGTCATATCTGGCCTTTAATAAATATTTTTGCTGGGTGGTGGTACTTGGGAGTACAGAGGCAGGTAGATCTCTGAGTTTGAGACCAGCCTGATCTACAGAGAGAGTTAGTTCCAGGACAGCCAGGGCTACACAGAGAAACTTTGTCTCTGAAGAAAGAAAGGAAGAAAGGAAGAAAGAAAGGTAGATTTGAAAATATTCCAGAAGAGAAGACAAATGTCCTACTTGGCAGCCCACTGTGTGCCATGTAAGTAGGTGTGTCTTGTAAGCACCTGTACCATGTAAACAGGTGGCCCTTGGAGGGCCCTAAGGGGAGAGGCCCTCACCGGAAAGGCACACCATCAACCTGAGAGCCTGGAAGTGGAGATCTCTCCCAAGGAAAGCCAGGTGCTGTGTGTAGTGGGTGATGCGGGGTACAGGGAGTATCCAGTGCGGTCCCTCCTGGTGAGGACCCCTGCATCCACTGCTGCCTTCAGAAATAAACTGTGGCTGCTGCCTGTCTGTCTCAGAGAACATTCTGTAGGAAGCAGTTTTCTTGTTTTGTTTTGTTGTTGTTTTACGTAAGTTTTCTCTGTGTAGCTCTGGCTGTCCTGGAACTCATTCTGTAGACCAGGCTGGCCTCCAACTCAGAGATCCACTTGCCTCTGCCTCTTGAGTGTTGGAATTGAGGACATGCGCCACCATACTAAAGAACCGTTTTCCAAGTGTTTGTATTAGCTTAGAAAGCTGACTATCTCGGCCACCTTCGGCTGTCTGCTGCCTTTTGGTTTAGGATCTCTCAGAACCATCTCGTGAAACATTTTGGAAACAAACATAGAATGGGAAGTAAACAAGAAATAAAGCAATAGGTCAGAAGTGGGAAAAAGAGGTGATGGATACAGGACCCCCTCAGAGAAGCCAGGGAGGAGTGCCAGGCAGCTAGCTGGCACTTAATGCTTGGGTCTAAGTGGAACAAATTCTGACCACATTGTGATCGATCCTTGGAGTGGAAGCAGCAATTGGTAGTAGCATATCCCATCTGAGTTGAGGTGGAGCATTGTCTTATAAGCAGAGGCAATTCACTGTCCCCCCAAAACAGCCAGAGAAGTCTCTATCTCTTCTGCCTTAGAATCAGCCCTCATCTCACTCTTCCTTCCCAAAGTCGGCCTGGCCTCCACACAGGTGTGCATAAGAACCGAGGGTCTAGGGCACAGCAGAGTGTGTGCATGCATCAGGAGCCTCCTAGTGTGGGAGCACGTATGTACTGCCTGCTCCAGGCTGGAGATGTTCAAACATCCCAAGTTCAGGTCAGAGACAGGAGAATGGTGTAACTAAATGCTTGTAACTGTTTTGCTCTGCTGAGTGATTTGATTGAAGACATGAATGTATGTGTTAAAAGATACTATCTCCAAAGTGTAGAAAATCATACAGAAAAAAGTGCCTCTCCTTCCTCGCCCTCCAGACCTGCTTACAGGGGTCTCCAGAGGAAGACTAGTCCTTCCCTGTCTGCGTTTGTTCCTGGCTCAGCAGCTGTCCTTCTGAACCTGTCTGCCCTCTGTCTCTTCCCCTCTCAGAATTTGACCCCTGGTCATCAAGTGGCTGTGAGCAGAATGAGTCAGAACCCATCCCTGCCAACTGCACTGGCTGTGCCCAGATACTACCCCTCAAAGTAACGCTCCCAGAGGACACTCCGAAGACTTTTGAGAGACTCCGTCCTCTGGTGATCAAGGTAGGCAAGAAGCCAGGTTTTCCTATGAACAGCCTGCCCATAAAAGGCTGGATCAAGCCCTGCGAAGCTGTGGTAACTCACTGTGGTAACTCACTGTGGCCTTCTTTGTCTTTCTATGTCACCAAGACAGGGCAGCCTCTGTTGTCTTCAGAGATTCAACATTTCTCATGCCAGTACCCTGAAGCCACAGAGGGCTTCTCTGAGGGGTTTCTCACCAAGTGGTGGCGCTGCTTTCCTGAGAGGTGGTTTCCATTTTCTTACCCATGGTGAGTCTGGAGGTGCTTAGCTTGCATGTGAGGAAGGGGCAGGGTAGGTGTCAGAGCTGTGAGAGCCAGCACCATAAAATGGTCAGTTCACAGCACACCTTCAAGTCAAGGACAGAAGCCCAGGTCAGCCTGCCATGCACTGCAAGGAGGAAGGGAGCAGAGTCCCTAAGGATGATGCTGCCATGCAGCTCATATATCCGATACTTTCTGCTGTGATGAACACCGTGACCAAAGTGTTTATCTGGGCCTATGCTTCCAGAGCAATGAGAGGCCATCACCTGTGCCCAGCAGACAGTCTTCTTTTGTTTTTGCTTTTTTGGGTTTTTGGTTTGGTTTGGTTTTGGTTTTGGTTTCCGAGACAGGGTTTCTCATTGTAGCCTGGAAGCAGACTATAATATAGTTCTGTAGACCAGAGATCCACCTAAGTCCGCTCCTGAGTGCTGGAATTGAAGGCATGCGTACCACCACTGCCTAGACAGACAGAGTCTTTAAGCTCTCAGAGTGACTTCTCTAACAAGGCCAGACTTCCTAAGCCTCCCCCAAACAGTGCCAGCACTTGAGGACCAAATATTCAAATGCCTGAGGCTATGAGGGACATTCTCATTCAAACCATCAGAACCTAATTGTTTCTTCTAAGGAGAAGGGTCAGGAGGTTCAGGACTGATTAGAAAGCTTAGCAGGTACAAGAGCTGCATCCAGGTCAAGGCACGCAAAGCGGGATTCTCAGTCACTTTGCAGACTGAAGATTAGATTCAGACAGGTTAAGACAGTTGCCAAGCTACGATGGAAACCTGTTTGCTCTCCAGTTCCTTCTGTGTCTACAGAAAACATGGGCCATTCCTTAAGGCTAAGCTCCCTCTGGTGAGAAAGGAAGAGCCAGTCTCCATGGAGAACTAGTTCAAAGGGAAATTAACATTACCCTTTAGGGTTTTGTTGGATATTTTTTTTAAAAAAAAATGCTTTTTACATTTATCATTTGTTTATCGTGCTCATGTGTGTGTGCTCCTGCTATCATGTATGTGTGGAGGTCAGAGGACAGCTTGTAGAAGGCAGCTCTTGCCTTCCATCGTGTGGGGCCTGGGGTGGAACTCGGGTTCACAGACCTGGTAGCAGATGCCTGTATTCGCTGAGCCATCTCACCAGTTCCTTTGCTGGCTAATTTCTTAATGCCTCTGCCTTCTTTTTGACGTAATTTCTATGCGTCTGTGTGTGAGAGAGAGGATACTTGTGTGCCGTGTCCTGTGCGTAGGTGTCGGAGGACAGTGTGCAGGAGTCGTTTCTTCCTCCCATGTAGCTTTTGATTATTTTAAATTGTGTGTATGGGGTTATGTTCCGTGAGTGCAGGTGCCCTCTGAGGCCACTGCGCATGAGCTCTGAGAACCGAGCTCCAGCCCTCTGCAAGAATAGAAAAAGCTCTTAACCTCTGAGCCCTTGCTACTCCCTCCTCAGTTGTGGGGTCAGAGAACAGCTCTCGGGAGTTGATTCTCCCTGACACTTTGAGACCCAAGGGTGAAATTCAGGTTGTCAGGCCTACACATAAGTTCCTCAGCCTGCTGAACCATCTCCCTGGCCTCCCACCTTTCTCTACACTTGTCATCGTCCTGTGTGGTGGAATGGCTGCCCACTGTCTCCCACTCTGCCTCAAAGAAAAGTCCTGCCTTTGGTCCCTTTCTCCTCTCTCCTTCAGTCTCTCTCCCTGCAGCTAGCCTGCTGTTACTTCCGCTTCTTTTTTAAGGTACAATGAGTTGATTCTTATTCTTTGTATTGCTTCTGCTGGAGCTTAGCATTACACCCATCCTTATAACTACCTGTAGGCCTTCTCTTGGTGAGCGTGTATGGTATGGTACTGTTCATCAGTTCTGCATGACTGTCTCCATGGATCTGATGCTAAGACATGGTCCTGCCGGTTATTCACAGCACTGAACTGTGGAGGCGGGAGGATCAGATAAAGGTTATTAGCCTCAGCTCCAGAGTGAGTAGGAGGCTAGCTGGGATCCATGAAACTGTTCCAAAAGATCAAACGGTCTGAGAAGACAGCAGTTAGGGTGTGCTGCTCCAGAGGACCTGACTTTGGTTCCCAGCGCCACAGCATAGAACTCCCCATCTGGCCCCTGTGGGTGCCCGCACACACGTGGCATACCCCGGTGGGTGCCCGCACACACGTGGCATACTCACACACACATACATATCTCATGTGTCTATTGAGACAGGACTCACTTTATAGCTCTACTATCTCTGTAGACCAGCTGACCTTGAACTCAGAGCTCCACTTGTCTCTGCCTCCCGAATGCTGGGTTTGCAGGTGTGCGCCACTATTTCCAACTGCAGAAATAAAACATCTTTTAAAAAATGTTTAAAAAAAAAAAAGACAGCACGAAAGGCATAGTTCAGCTCTCTCCTCTGCACCTTCCGCCATGGTCTGTCCCTCCTGCAGATGAACCGGCTGACTTGGCTGGTGACTTATTTCTTTTCACACTTTTCAGGAGGAGACCTCTAAACAGATCACAAGTTTTACGGGAGCTTTTTCCTGTTTTTACCCAACTTCCATTTCCAAAAGACGCCTCCTTACACAAGTGCTTCCTGATCCACCCGGAACCTGTGGTGGGTAGCAAGGTAAGACATGCTGTCAGGACTCAGGTCTTATTTTCCCCATTCGATGGAGGCCTTCTCTGCATGTGGACTCAGAGAGTGAGTTGAGTCCCCACTGCTGGCATCTGACAGGAAGGTGCAGTCCCGGAGGTCTTTCCTGTGGATCTTTGTGCTGCTGCTTTTCCTCTTCAGAGGAGTGGGAAGTTGACATCCCTCCCTCAAATCAGAATGTAGACAAGTCTGTAGATGAATAGTGTGTTCTTATAGCCCCAGCCTTTTCTTTATGCCAATGCAGAAATGGAGCCCAAGAGAGAAACCTTTAACCCAACTTTAGAAGAACTTTGAAAACCCCATTCACAAACAAGAGAGCCAGGGCAGCGAATAGGAAAAGCCAACACTTGAGGGCCTGGGACGTTTGAATGGTACTTGAAGGCAAGCAGCTGACCTGTTTATCCCACCCTTTCCATTGGTCAGGGCCAGTGGATGGGAGAAGCCCCTCTATGTTTGGGTCTGTCTGCTTTTATCTGAATTTGTTCTCTTGTTGAGTCTCATTCCTGAAGATGATTTCAGAATTTTGATTAATTTGAATGAGTTTCCTACCTGTGCCCTTCTTCCAGTTCTGGTTTGTGTCTGCACCTGATCCTCCTTATTTGTTCCAAGCTTGCTGAACTGTCAGGATCGAATTTCATAGCTTATAAAACCTACTTTGTGGTCCACGCCTTTAATCCCAACACTTGAGAGGCAGAGTCAGGGAGATCTTTGTGAGTTTAAGGCCAGCCTGGTCTACAAAGTGAGTTCCAGGATAGAGTCCAAAGCTACAGAGAAAGTTTGTCTCAAAACTGCCCCCACACACACACAAAACTTTGTGTAGAAGTAAGTGCCTGCCTGCTGCTGTGGGTAAGGCCTGCTGTCAGGAGGGCCGCTCTCGCTGCAGACTTCACTGGTTTGGCCTGCTATGTCCAGCTAGACCTCAGGGCCCAGTAGGATTTCATCTTCATAATTGTGATAGAATTTTGGCGAGGGACTTTATCTCAGTTTTCCCACTTGAATACTGAAGTCAGTTTCATCTGTTGCTGACAGAAAGGCGTCCAGCAGAGGAGAAAATATAGCTATTCAAATGGTTAGCGCAGTCATCTTGTGTGGAGATTTGAGAAGGGAGTGCCCCAAAGGCTGGGTTTCTTAGAACATGTGTATCCCCACCCAGCCTCACTACTCCACCCTACTGTTCTCCTCCTGGTCCCTAGGCCCTGGAAAAGCCAAGGCCCAGTGTCCCAGGTCAGTCTTGGGATAGAGAAGAAGTAGGGTCTGGTCACTACACAGCCCCACTTCTCCTATTCCTCAGTGTTGCCTAGGACTCGCCCTCAATCGTCTGTTCCATCCTGGGCATGAAGGGGCATGGCCCAAGCCTCTGAGCCTGTGAATGAGGGCTGCACCCACCTGGTTGTGGTCTTATGTAGTCTTTCAGGACTGCAGATGGCAAAGCATCTGCCAGTGTTGGTTCTTAATTCCTGCAAGCTAGCTCAAGACAGGAGCTCCTGTGCTCCTGGTTGCCAGGAAATGGCTCTGTGTGGCCTTGGAGACACTTGGGCTGTCACTGAGGATGCTGCCCAGTAAATATGCAGTTCCTCTTAAGAAGAACCTGTAGATGGCTGGAGAGAGGCTCAATAGTATGAACATTTCTGCTCTTGCAGGAGACCAAAGTTCAGTTTCCAACACTGACATTGGGCAGCTCATAACTCCTAGGACTCAAGCTCCAAGGACTCTGGCTCCCTCTTCTAGCCTCCAGGAGTACACATAGGCATACAGATAATAAAATAAAAAATATTAAAAATAACCCAGAGAAGAGATTTTTACCCTGGCCTCAGTACCAGGAAATGCCATGATTAGGAGAGACTAGTTTGTTTTATGTTTTAGAGATAGTTATGAAATTTGTTATTAATCATGTTTTCCTCATTGCTCAGCCTACTAGGAATACCTTACCATATCTAAGGCCAGGCATTTTGGCACACACGTTTAATTCCAGCACTTGGGAGGCAGAGGTAGATGAATCTCTTGAGTTCAAAGCTGACCTGGTCTACATAGAGTTCTAGGACGGAGATGTAAAGAAAAGCCATTATGTATAAAGGGTTTTGTCCACTAATACTCATTCTTCTCCCTCTTTCTTTTGCATCCATTCTTTACTCCAGATGCATAAGGTGCACGACCTGTTTACTGTTGGCAGCGGGGAAGCCATGTTGCAGCTCATTCCCCCCTTCCAGTGCCGAAGACACTGTCAGTCTGTGGCCATGCCGATAGGACCTGGAGATATTGGTATGTAGGGTCCCAGGAGGACAGAGACAGTATTTCTAAGCATCAACAATGTCTTCAAGAAGGTTCTATCCTTTGGGCTGGACAGATGGCTGTTAGAGGCTAGGCTCACACCCAAAAATATACAAAGGTTCTATCTGATTAAATCAAAAGTAAGATTTTATTAACAGAATCTATTTATTATGCTTAAAAAGAGAACAGGTAAAGTAGCATAGGAGATGTGTGCACAACAGGGAGACGTGTGCACTAACAGCTCTGAGAATGCGGGTGTCTGTTGGGCAAAACCACTCCAAGTTAGAAGGGATTCTGGAAGTTATTTAGAATAATTCTTCATTTTATAGATGAGGAAGTTGAAATGAGAGTCAAATGACCTTCCCAGTATCCCACCATTAAGTCACAGGCATGTCAGGACAGAGCCAAGACAAGGTCATAGGAAGCCTTTATACCTGTTTTGCTAAGAGTCAGTTTGATGTGATGGGCCACTGTCACGTGGTGTCACCGCTGTGTGTATCCACAGCCAATCCAAGGCCCAGCTCAGTTGGTGACCCACCACGATTCTGACTCTGTGTTTCCAAAAATACCAGTGTCCTCAGAACCTATTCCAGAGTTAGTCAGTTGACAGCAGTACTCTTGGCAGAAGCAGAGGTGGCAGCAAATGCCACTGCTGCCCCTGTTGGTGCTACGTCACAAGATCTGGAGCCCTTGCCAGGCTGAGGCCAGCTTACAGCCCTGGGACCTTTTACCATTGGCCATCAGAAGTCCCAGGTACCTAGAACACTCTCACCTCAGTGAGGGCCAGGGGCTGGCATTGTGCCAAGCTCTGCTACGCATCTCAGAACCTTTGTTTTAGCATAGGCATGGGGAGGAAGTATGACACAGACTGAACAGTAATAATGGGGCCCAGCTGGTCTGGCCCGGCCATGCAAAACTGCGATAAAAAGTGAATGTGTGTGGAAACAGCAGGCCGTTTCCTGCAGTGGAGTGACCCTATGTTGAGTGGCTGTTAGAGAAACAGGGTTTTAAATTTGTGGTCATTCGTAGACAGCCCCCCCTGTCTTGCTTTCTATAAATACTGTTGTTCAGACAGCTTCAGAAGCACCTTGAATTTTCCAGGTTCTAGATTGCCAGTTCTCGCAAGCATCCAGAATGCCAGTTATAGGATTTGAAAAGAAGAGGTGACTGGCAGCTGCCAAGGAAGTTTGATAGACGAGAGCAGCCTAAGACACAGATGCCAGGCTTCTGACTGGCAGAGCCTTAGTGGCCAGCCTCATGGCAGGCACAGAACAAGCAAGGGAGAGCTGGGAGCAGGGGTGGTTGGCGCCTGAAGCCCTGTTAGGAATGGAGTCAGATAGAGGAATAGAGGTAGAGCTGCCGCAGGTGGTAAGGATGAAAGTCAGGCCTATTGGTGAGAAAGAGTAACTTGGGGGTGTAGCATGGCCCATTAAGAATGGTACTGGGACAAGCTGTTCTATGATTATATTTTTTTTTAACCAAAATGCTGGGTTTTTTTTAACCTGGAAGTGGAGGGCCAGAATTACAGATCCACCAGGAATCCTGGAATGATACATAATCAAGGATGACAGATGTTGGGCACACAGGCCCAGCAAGATCATGTGACCTCTCCTCAAGTATTAGTCAGTTTCTAGACTGACCAACCATCACACCTTAGAGACTGACTTTCCAGTTGAGACTGTTTATCTTAGTAATGTTTAAAAGAAAGGGTTCCGGGTGGTGGCGCACGCCTTTAATCCCAGAGACAGAGACATAGGCAGGCGGATCTCAGTAAGTTCAAGGCCACCACCCTGGTCAACAAAGCAAGTTCCAGGACAGCCAGGACTATTACACAGAGAAACCCTGTTTCAAAGGAGAAAGAGAGGAGAGGGGGGGGGGGAGGTGGTTAGCATGAGATGATTTTATTTTGCTGTTTCGAACTTTTGAGGCAGAGTCTTGCCATGTGTTCTGGTTGGCCTAGGTATCACTAGGTAGCCCAGGCTGGCTTCAGACTGCAGTAGTCCTTCTGCCTCCGTCTCGGTGCTGGCATTACAGGGATGTGCCACCCCCTCCAGCCTTCCACTTTTGTGTACTTCTTTATGTACTTGGCTGACTTCTGGTCCTTTTGAGATGGGTTCTGGCTAAGTAATCCTGGCTGGCCTCAATCCTGAAAGTCTCCCTGCCTCAGCCTTACAAGTGCTGGAATACAGGTGTAGCCCCACACCCAGCATGATCCACTGTCCCATGTTAGAGCATGCAGGACAGTCCTGTGAGCGACAGCAGGATGCCTTCCCAGCACACTCAGGTGATCTAGGTCTGAGTTTTCCAAACAGAGCCCAGGGGTGGAAACAGGAACCTCCCGAGAAGGCCTGGAACAGGCTTCCTGAGTTAGGACTTCAGAAGCCAGTGTGCAGGATACACGGGCTCCAAGAAGCCTTGGAATCATCGAAGCCTCTTCAGATATTCAAGACGGGCAGAGCCCACACTGGGGATGCTGATTTAAGTCAGTCTGTGTGAGCTGGAGCACACCATCTTAGGAATAGCTGTGTGCTCCCCACAGAACCCATCCAGACCTAGGCATCCAGACCTAGCCATAGTGCTGTGCGCACCCTGAAGTCCTAGCATTCAAGAGGCAGGAGAATCCCAAGCTTGAGGCCAGCCGAGACTACATAACAGGAACCTGTCAAACACACACTCCACTTCCAAAAAAAAAAAAAAGATTATCAGCCTGGGACCTGATGGCCAGTACCTCCCTCATGTAAAACAGGCTGCCTGTGTGACCAGCCAGAGTGTGATTCAGTTGCCCATAAGAGGGTGGGGAGAAAAGTCTGGGTTTGGGGTGTCTTTGAGTGTCAGGTCACAGAGAACTAGTAATAGCAAGGCATACTCAGACTTCAGAGAGCCCAGAGACTTTCCAGCAAGAGCAGCAGGACTGCAGACCCATGGCTCTGCCGGTGTTCTTCTCCCTGACATTCACTGCTTTCCTGTTGCTGTTTTCCTCCAAGGCTATGCTGGTGCTGCCCACTGGAAGGTCTACATTGTAGCCAGAGGGGTTCAGCCTCTGGTCATCTGCGATGGAACCACTCTCTCAGAGCAGTAGGAAACGACTGTCTATAGGAACTGCTTAAAGAGCTGAAAACCAGGCTGAAAAGAACAGGGGGGAGGAATAAAAACACTAAAACCTTTTCCTTGGGTCTGTTGCTTAGTTACCTGCCCTGGATGCACTGGCTGTTAGCTGTGTGCTGGAGACAGCAACTAGGACCTACCTCTCCATCTCTGTCATTAGACTCCCTGGGGAGGGCTGCAGCCTGGCTGCTAACCAACACTTTGTCCACATCTGTCCTCTCCCGGGCCTTTGAACACCAAGGTGTTAGAAACGGGCTAGTAGTTCCCCCTGTGTGTGGACATGGCTCCTCACTGGCTTCTAGGCAGTGGAGGGGCAGCAATGGGTGCTGACACCATATCCTTCACCAGGTGAATCTGTCTGTCCACTATTTCCCTAACCACATCACCCTGTACTAAAAAGTACAAAAGGGAAATCATGACTGGCTTTAAAAATCCCTACAGTTTGACAAGCAGAATGAATGTGGAACCAGTGTGGATAGGATCAGATAGCCAGAATTGCATTTTTAAAAGTGCCTGCTAACACTAGGTATCATGGTGTGTACTAGGCTAGCCTGATCTATGTAGTGAGTTCTAGATTTGCCAAGGATTGCGTAGTGAGACTGTCTCAACAGAGCTCAGTAGTAGAGTGCTTGCCTAGCATGTGTGAGGCAGTCCCCACATCCCAAAGAGAAAAAGGAAAGTGTCCCTTTTTCATAATGTCCATGGCTCTTGGGGTTCTGGTGGTGGGTGCTGGAGGCGGGGCTAGAGTTCTGAATCTTCAGGTGCCTGTGCCTCTAGCTGGCCAGAATCCTCGCTGAGGCTGCAATGCCCTGACTGAGTCAGCTGCTGCCGTGCCCCACCCCCTTCAGAAGGAATGAGTTAGAATAGCTGGCCTGAAGGAGACAGGCACCTCCCTGAGTTTGATTTTTAGGCCTGACTTTCTACAGAGATATTTTTCAGCAGCCTCAAGCTGATGTAATGTGGTTGGGGAAGGAGCTGCAGAGTCAAAGTGTTTGCTATCAGTGTGCGACTCACTTCGTGGTCGTCCGTTCTACTGTGGTCCTGCCTTCATACTGGGAAGCAAGGTGACATATTGGTTTTATCAGGATGCACAATTATCCTAACTAGTGATCTGCTGTGCTTACTGCTCCCCCAAGTGCTTTTGGGGTATCTTCGTCAAACAGCGCAAATAATAAGGATGTTCTTTCTTTGAATTTTTGAGTCAGGGTTTCTCTGTGTAGCCTTAGCTGTCCTGGATCTCACTCTATAGCCCAGGCTGGCCTAAAACTCACAGAGATCCTCCTGCCTCTGCCTCCCAGGCGCTGGGATTAAAGGTGTGTGTCATCATCTCCCGGCAAGTATGCTCTTTTTGCTTTCTCTGCCCCCTTTTTTGTTTTGTTTTGTTTGTTTTGTTGTGAGACAGGGTTTCACATTGTATAGCTTCAGCTAGTCTCAAAACTCCTTTAGACCTGACTGTCCTTGAACTCACGGGGATCTATCTACCTGTCTCTCCCTCTCTACTGCTGAAATTAAAGGCATGCACCACGACACCCAGCTTCCTCTGCCCTCGTATTGGTCCTTTATTGACATGGCTAGGTACTTGATCACTGATCATGCCGCACAAAGATGAAGATAAACCAAACTGAGTGGCCTCCGGTTCTAAATTGTGGAAGTCAGAAGGCTGCACAGTAGGTCTGCCCGGACCTGCACAGTCCATGGTGATGGAAGCTGTGACCCTCTGTGGAGTCTTCACCATCGATGGAGGGACCCTGTACCTTTGGTCCCTTGAATTTCATGAACAACAGTGCGGGGGACAGGTGAGGTTAAGCAAAGAGGGCTCTGAGGAGGCTGAGGTGGTTTGTGGAAGACAAGCAGTCCTCACCCAGCCCAGGGTGGAGTGGCGCAGCGCAGAGCCTCCGCAGGCTAGAGTGTGAACTGCGCGCACGGAGGAGGAGCTTTCCCTGAGAGAGTGGAGCCTTTGTGAGGCTGCTGGAGGAAGACAGAGCTTTGCACACACATAAGCCCCACTGTGAAGCAGTTGGGCTTTCAGAGGTTGTAAGTCAGAGGACCATGAGAGGTCAGCTCTGGGCTTCCACAGTCTTCGTCCCCTGGGGCGAGTCGGGCAGGGTTACACTCAGGTCCCGGGCCCTGGGTCTCCAGAGCCTTCTGAGATTTGATCCTTAGAGAGGAGGGTTCAGAGGTGACATTTCAGAACCACTGTCTCGGTCTAGGGGTTCCCTCGTGTTCCTTCCCTGTTGGACTCCATGTGTACATCCTCGAGTCCAGAAAAGAACTCTCCAACTGAAAACAAGGAAACTTTGCCTATGTTGGCCTTAAGAGGCACCTAGGAAGGCCCCAAAGTCCCAGCTTTCTACAGATCAGCAGTACCGGAGTTTGTGTGCATGCTTCAGCTGAGGCCTGTGTGCAGGTAAGGGAGACATCTCAGGCTTTTCTGCTCTTAACTACTGCATAGTAGTTGCTCACCTCAAGGACTGGGGCTGCCTATGGGCTTTCTCCGCCAGCTGGAAGCCTGGAGTCAGAAGCAGCGCAGGCCCCTCGGCATGTGTGGTAGCGTGGAAAGGAGGGTGTCAGCAACAAAGAGGAACTGGCATTGCGAAGGCCAGGACAATCTAACCACCTCACCTCGGGCGCTAGTGTGGACCAGCCAGGGGGCTCCAAACTGCTACCCACAGTTTATGAAGTATTTACTGAGCAGTTCCATGGTGACCTCTGTGTGAGTTAGGTTCATTTCTTGTGGGTCTCTAGGCCCTAGAAATCAACTCTTTGGGGAGGCAAGTATTTTGAGCCAGTTTGAAGCATTTGAGTCTGAGTGGCCAGAACTCAAGCAGTCGACCCCTGAGTGGACACTGCACCTGTTGTGGTCTGTGAAGAGGCAGGCTTGCCTTCACCCGCTCTGGATTTTACTAAGGGAGAGGAGGTAACAAACAATGATTTGTGATAGTAGAATTCTCCTGTTTGGTGCAATTCAGAGCAAATTTAGGGGTGGGATGGTTGGTTGGTTTGAGACAGAACCTCCCTATGTAGCCCTGGCTGACCTGGAACTCTCTGTGGAGAAATTGGCATCAGTTCACAGAAATCTGCCAATCTCTGCCTCCCAAGTGCTGGAGTTCCATGGTTCATTCTCTAACAGAAAGGAATACTATCCCACATCATCCTAGCCTCCGTGCACCTCGAGGACATACACTACCCCTTACACGGTCCTGTGAAGTCGGGGCAGAACCCTGTTTCACAGGGCAAGAAACTGAGGCTAGAACAGGAAGTTGCTGGCAGGAGGCAGGTGGTTCCACCCAGGGGGAGTGCCCTTGGCTTGTGGGTGTGCCCCACTGGGGTGGGAGACCTAACCAGACAGTCAGCAAAGCAGGAGCTCTGTGGGATTTGCTTTCCAAGGCCTCAGGAAGACATGCTAGAAGAAAGAATCTCACCATCCGGTCTTTATAAAATGCTGTCCCTGTGTCCCTACACATTTGAAAACTTGTTCTTGACAGGATGTAGCTAGAGTGCAACTGCATCCAGCCATCTTGCCCTCACTGCCTTTCCAGATGTGTGTCCAGTTCCAGTTGTGTGTCCAGTTCCAGTTGTG